TACGTATGATATAGAAACGAAAGTTGTCTGTAAAGAATACAGTTCAAGTAAAGAAATTGAATGTATTTGAGAGGGATAGCCTTTATATAAGATATTTAAATTAGTAATAATACACATTTAATGATATAAAGAATAAATGGATTTTAATTGTTCCACTACAAGAATTGTATCAGAAAGAAATAAAAATTATGAAATCTGAAAGAAGGCGTTTGTGAAACGTACATACATTCTCAAAATTGCAGTCCACCTTTCCACTCTGTTTTGCACTGAACTGTGTGAAAGAAAGGCTTCAAAAGTAAGTTTCACTCACTTGCAGTTAAAAAAACTTATACCCTTCCAGCAGTTGGCAGCATTACCGTAATGAACTGTTTCTCGTGTTGCAGATGTATGGGAACTGCAGTTGTATAGGTTCAGAAGGAATGGGGTGGGCAGTGGATGGTGCGTGTCAAGTAGACTGCTCTACCAACTTTACCATATTCCTGGTAACTCTGTGCATTATGCAATTCCTCTCAGCATCAGGCAGGGCAGGCAACACAATCATACAGTTCAGGTACACTTAAGTCATTGTGTCCTACCTTCAATGCTACGAGATATATCGTAAGTATGTGACATCATCATTAAAGGCCTGTCATGACATCTCTTGATAGTTTGAACTATTTCAAGACTGGATTTATAAGTTTGCCGTAAAAGTACCCTTTCTTTGCCCAAGTTGTTCTTAAATTAAATTGTACTGAAATCATGAAATTGATTATTTATTACCAAATTGTATGGAGGTAATATATATTCTTGTCGATAAATTTTCTGTCATTTACTTCCTGTCCTGCATAATGATCAGTTTTTGAATTAAACAGTAGTCCGGCATCAAAACAGCAGTGAGAAGGTTGCTTTCACTTTTTGATTATAAAATCTATTACACTCTCCTACGAAATAGAACAGAGATGGAGCGAAAGGGTTACTATGGTCAGATAATAAAAGAATATCTATGAAACTGAAAGGTTCAAATGAATTTTTGTAAGAATTTATGTGTTCTATGTTGGTGGTAAAATCTCAGTTCAATTCTTGACTTCTTCTAGTCATAGAAGTTTTGTAAGTGCTGTTCATGCAAGCAATAGGACCTTTAGATGTAGGATCTTCTTCTATGTCTCTCCAGTCCGTATTCGGTCCAAGGCCTCCTCAATTCTCCTCTTCCATTCGGTCCTCTGTTAGGTCCGTCTGTCCGAGGCTTTGATCAAGGTTTGGAAACATCTTCATTTTTACGGTGCAAGGTTGTTAGCCTTGCGACCAACCCCCAACCTAGAGGACCAGGGTACCTGTCTTAGTTTGGCCTCTCCCCCTCGACAATGATTACACAATATAAAATAAACATCTCATTATACTTAACAGCTTTTATGCAATCAGAGTTTCCGTGTGGTAAATATCTAACCAAATGCAAGGAAAAGTAATTTTGGACTCCAAGCAATTTTGTATGTGTCAAGTAATTGACACTGAAAAAAATATATTTGTATTGGTTTAGCAGTTAGAACGCTTGTAATCCTGGGGTCCCGGGTTCGATTCCCAGCAGTGCCCGAATTTATAACTTGTGTTGTGCAAGGCCGTGGTCCAGGCATCACGGAGTTTTCCTCCGGGGCTTCCCCAGTTTCTCCGTGGCATTCCAACAGTTACTCTATACACACTTCTGTATCACCTGTCTAAAAAACATATATGAACAGGTCCCAGTCCAAGAAAAGGATGGAAGGATCCTGTTCATAATATGTCGCCAATCTCCTGTAAAGGAGATGGCGTAATAAAGAAGAAGAACTGTTGACTTGAAGCAAAGCAAAAATGGTAAAGAATACATTTTTAAAGTAAGTGAATTCAATGGAGTACATACAAATGAGTACAGCTTTACACTTTCATGTATGTGTTACATATAAATATTTTACTTTCTGTGTTGATGGGGAATATTTTTGACTGTTGAATACATTAACATTTTCTTCTGAGGATGGCCATCTCCAACAATAAAAATAGAATTATTCTCTTCCAGATGTGTTGATCAAGATGACAAATCCATGTCTATTGGCTTTACAGAGGCCCTGCTTTGTGCTCTTGCCTTCATTCCAGGTCCTATTGTTTACGGCGTGTTACTAGGTAATACTTCTTACGAAATAGTTCATTATACTTAATTCCTTAATTTTAATTTTATTTTAAATAGTATGTATACACATGCACAGATCTGAATCCAAAACATATAAATGTCTTGTTGCTAGAATAAAGGACTGCCTAAATAAGGAAGCCTCGTAAAATGTGGCAAAATTAAAATATTCAGGAACTAAAGTAATAAATCAAAGTTAAATTTATGGCAAAGTGAGGGAATGTGCCCTACCAGCCAGCACAAAATCTAATCTAAACATTAAAATATACAAAACTGTAATTTTACCGTCGTTTGATAAAGGCGTGAAACTCGGTTTGTAAGGGATAAATGTAAACTGAGAGTGTTCAACGACGAGTTGCTCAGGAGAATATTTGAACTTAGAGAAGGGGAATGAGAAGAAGAAAAAACTGCAATACTTATAATATATTAATCATAAAAGCTGAAGGGAGGAGACCACTTGAGAGACCTAGACATAGGTGAGGAATAATATTAAAATGGATCTTAACCTTTGTCGCACAGCAAAAGGTGATTTAAACCCTCATGTTATGGATCTTCCAGCCAGACTTTTAAACGTGGATGGTGCATACATAAGTCATGATGCAAGGAAGGAAAAAAATAAAGAAATAAAGTGTGAGAATGTGAATTAAATTAAACTGGTGGGCTCTTGTTAATCTTTGAATTCTGTCATTCACAGTAATTTCTTCACCAGCTGAGTGACTAAACTTTTGAAAAAGGGTGGTAGTAATTTTTATAGGTTTTGTGGGCCTTTAACCGTGCACTGGACTACTGGGGTGACCCTCTTTCATTATCACTGACCTCGGATCTGTGAGTAGGTTGGGACAAGTGTTCTATGTTCGAATGTTTCTGAATAATGACATGAGAAGAATGTAAAAATGAAATTTTGGGGCATCAATGTGGATTTTAAAATCACTCATTGTATATGAGTAGTAAACTATTTGTAATGTGTCTATTCATCACCGTAAGTACAGGGCAAGTCTAAATGATGTTCCCGATTTGAAACACGTTACTCACGTTTAATGAAATTCAGATGCACAAAATTGGTACCAATGGAAAGAAACTTTCCAAGTTTATGTTGGTATACTTCGCGGCCGCGTAGTAACACTGTTCACCGCCAGGGGCGATATGAGAGAAAATGGCTGCCATCGGAGACAGGGATCCTTTCGTGTCCTGAATTTCCATGTTCACCGGACCTGAAGCCCTGTGATTATTTTCTGTGGGGGTTCGTCAAAGTTAGAGTATTCATGCCACCCTTACCACAGACCTTGCTTGATCTGCGAGCGAGTATCACAGCAGCCATTGCAGCAATCGATCATGATATGCTGTAACGTGTCTGGGAGGAACTCGACTACAGGCTGGATGTGTGCCGAGTTATAAAGGGGGTTCACATTGAACACCTGTGATGTACTGAAACAAAACTTGGAGAGTTTCTCTTTCCATCGGTATCAATTTTGTGCATCTGAATTCCATTAAACGTGAGTGACATGTCTTTCAAATCGGGACTTGCCCTGTATTACCACTTTTACAGATTTTTACTGAAGACAAGCCATCACGTAGTGATCTAATCATCGTCATTGGTTTTGCTGTCTGATCTGTACGAGATACTTTTTTCTCTTAAGTGCATTACGTTACCAGCCAAATCACAGCTTTGAATCATGTGATATTTTACTTACAGCAGTGAAGAATATACAGTAATAATATATAATTAGATAAAAAGTGACAGATTCATAAAATGGTATAGTAGGCTGCATGATATTTATTTGTTTATGGTTTATTTAATGATGCTGTCAGCAGCTCAGAATATGTAGCACTAAATAATAGGATGATTAACAAATCATCATCCTTTCCCATATTAGGCCACGAGGCCTATTATGGTCTTGTGTTTTCTGTCCATCTCTTCTGAGGTCGGCCGAGAGATCTTTTCCCAGCAGGGCGGTATTTCAAAATTACCTTTGGGAATCTACTGTCGGTCATTCTATCCACATGATTTGTCCAGTTTTGTTGATATTGCCAAATGTAGTTCATTACAGGTTCCGTCTGAAGTTCTGTCATAATGTCCTCATTTCTCATGTGGATTAACAAATAATGAATGTGAAAATATATGGAAAGAAGTAGTCATGACATGATTTAAGGTATTGTTCTGGCATTTTCTTAGGATGACTGAGCAAACCACAAGAAACTTCAGTCAGGCTATCTGGTTTGCAGGTTGATATTTTAACTTGACACCTCCTAAACATGAAGGAGGATTAGTCATTCAGTATGACAGTATCCTTAGCAACAATATGCAAATAGAAGTAAAAAAAAGTAAAGTTTGTCCCACTATACGCCATGTAGGCGTTTGGGGGGAGAGGAGGTATAGCTCCTCCCTTCCTTGACCTCGGCACTAGATGGGGGTGAGTGGTCAGCATCACTCATCTTCTTTGCAAGTCATACTAACACTAGCTTACCATCTTGTTTGATCTATCTGTAGTAGGAATCTGTTTAAGTTGTCAACAATCAAATTGCACTTGTCAAGTTACAGTAATTATTGGTCTTGTGTAGCCGATATATTTCCAAAGTGGTGGTCATCAAAAGACTAAACCTCCACTCAGAATACATTTTCAGGGGTTCTATATCCATTCGTCAGATTATGGTCTCACATAATGAGATAAGGGTTTAAGATATAGGACATCATTTCAGATTCAGCGTGCATAGTCTGGGGACAGACGTGTGGAGAAACGGGCAACTGCTGGCTCTATGATGGACAGAGGCTAGGGTTCCTTCTCAATTTCACTGCATCAGGTAAGTCACTGATATGAAACACAGAGGAACCTCTTTTAACAGACCTACATGGGGGGGACCACGGGTCGAATAAGCCGATAAGTCGGATCAGCGAGGAGAAGGGGAATGTGGTTATGAATATGAAAAAATAAGTAGAAGACAAAGATATAATTAGCAAAGTTGAAACAAAAACATGTACATAATTGTTATAAATACTGAAATATACAGAAATTCAATACAGATTTTCCTCAGCAGATAATGCGAGCTTTTCGCATGCACAAGCCGGTGGCAAAAGAGTCGATCGTGAGCGCTGTTCGAGGAAGTCCCCGTATTAAAACAGTGAATTTATCAGTCATTCTGAGTCACTGTCCTTCGCATGAAGTGGAGGTTCTGGTGTGCTTCTGCTGATGTCAGTTGGTTTGCTTGCTGTGTTATCCTGAACAAGGAGTAGGGGTTCAGTTTCTACGGGAACCAGGAGGTTTATTTTCAGCTGGGTTGTTTTTTGTCTTTGCCTGTGAATAACGAGTTCTCTAAATGTCCAGACACCATAGTGGTCTAGCGGTTAGAATGCTGGGATTGTAATACTGGGGTCCTGGGTTTGATTCCCGGCGGTGCTCAGATTTACAACTTGTATTGGGCAAGGCCATGGTCCAGGCATCACGGAGTTTTCCTCCGGGGTTTCTCCGTGGCATCCCAACAATTACTCCACTTTCATCATCATTTCGCAAAAAGGGGGTCACAGCACGAGCGTTAAATGTCGCGGTCCCGATCGAACCCATGTACTGATGAGTCGTGAATCCTGCTAACACCCAATGCACACCATGCTGAATGGTGTGTACTGGATACAAGAAAAGTGTGTTCATAATGATCAGCAAAACCTGGGTCCGAGGTTAGATCAATGGACTGTATGATACCATCAACATATTCCCTCAGCTGAGGCTTTGCTTTTCTCCTACATCATCAGCTTCAGTAGCAGAAACATTCTCAGCAATTTTCTCATAACCGATCTGTTCGAAGTTCGGTCGGTTAATGCGGGAGTCGGATAATCGAGGGTCAGTTACCAGTGGTTTTCACGGCAGTGAGTTTGAAGATGGCCGTCTTCTCGGTTGTTGCACCGTGTAGTCTGGTAGAAGTTTACCGACGTTTCAGAGGTCCATGCTGCCTCCATCATCAGGGCAATGAATAAATAACAATTATTCAGGCTACATGGCACAACAACCCAGAAGACGGCTGTCTTCTGACTTCCACTAAATAAATTATACTGAATAAGTGAAATTACTTACTTATATTCTATATGATGTCAAAGTTAAGAATATGTGGAGCTATACCTCAACTCCCCCAAATTTATTTATATGTGTTGCTTAATTAAGCTCAGGGACAACTTCAGTATCGGGTTTAATATCTGTTGTCGTGATTGGCATGTATCTCCTGAAGTATTGTCTTTGACAGATTGTGTTTTATGTTATAAGGTAACTATTGTTCATCACACAGAATGATACAGTTTTATAAAAATCGTATTTTGGTCACACAAAACAATATCATCAGGCCACAGGCCGTGTGTTGACAATCCTTGGTCTAGATCAGGAGTTCTCAATCTTTTCCAAACCTACGACCATATTCATCCTTGCTTGTTGAGGGTCACACGATTGATTAAACATGAGGACAGTTTAGAGGAGCTTCATGGCAGTATTTTAAAAATGCTAGTAAATTACTGTAATGAACAGGCTCACGTATTACTCTGTAATTTTCCTTTCTCAAAATCAATTGGGAAAGGAAAATTATTGAGTAAGATATTCTTGTTACTGCATTGCTAGAGTAGTTTTTCAACATGTAGGATTTTAGGTTTTCACAGCGGTGAGTATGAAGATTTCTGTCTTCTGGGTTGTTGCGCTGTGTAGTCTGGTCAATGTTAACCAACGTTTCAGAGGTCATACTGCCTCCGTCATCAGGGCGATGAAACGTTGGTAAGCATCGACCAGACTACACAGCGCAACAACCCAGAAGACAGAAATCTTCATACTCACTGCTGTGAAAACCTCAAATCCTACTGTAATGTTCACTGAAACATTACACAATGAACAAAATAAGCTACCAAAGCCAAAAACTAGTTAAAATATATTTAAATTCACTTTTTTCATTATATAAGGACAATAAATAAGAATAAAGAAAACATGTTTCGAGGGTGGACTAAAATTTTATTAGCCTGACGGTGCGTATTTATCACAAATAAAATTCACGTAATCAAATCAAGTATAAGACTTCAGGACATGTACTAAAATTTTATTCCAAAAACAAGACGAGAAATTATCGCTCGGGAAACCCAGGCATAAATGGAAAGATACCGTTAAACTTTAGGTAAAAGCATTCGTGTAATTCGGGGCATAGACTGGTTTCAGTTGGCCGAGGATGCATTTTAATGAACACTTTGGAACAGTACATTTCTATCTGTAATGAGGTTTATGCGAAGTCTTGGCTTATCGCAAAATATACTCTGAAGCAGAACCACGTCGTTTATGAACCTAAGCTGTTGGGAACATGCGATCTCTTTCAGGTTTCCTTCTGGGTGGCACACTGCTAGACATAGGAGTGTGGTACAATGTAAAAGATCTTCAGATATATGACAAAGAAGTTGAGACAGGCAACATGAAAAAGAAAAAGACTAAGAAGAATACAAGAGAAGAACAGGAGAGGATAGATCAATTGAATGAGCCCTGTGAATTCCCTCTGCTATAACATATGTAGAATACTGTAAAATTATCTCATTGTAGACTCTTTTATATGTTGCGTAGCATTGTCATGATTGGGTTAATGTTTCACACATTTGATTTTGCCATTAAGAAATTCTGTAAATGATTTAAGGTTTGCCAGAATAGGCCATCTTCTTTATTCCTAAAGTGCCAAATTGTGATATAAAAAATTAGAAACCAAACATCAGTACCATAAAGTGGTGCTTGATACTGGCCTTACCTCTTGAATTCCAATCAGGCACTCTGGCAGGTCCCAGTTTTATTTCGGTTTTCTAGGGTCAGTTTGAATTCTGTTGGTCATTTGTGAAAATGTTGACCTATTCTCAGGCTATACTGTCTAAGTCTCAACATCTTGTTACCAAAAATAAGTTTAACCAAATCAATCAACAGTATTAAATCTCAGTCAAAATAAACAATTAATCAAATGAAGGGATATAGTTTAATTCTTCTTCTTTTTCTATGGCTCTCCGGTCCGTATTCGGTCCAAGGCCTCCTCAATTCTCCTCTTCCATTCGGTCCTCTGTTAGGTCCATCTGTCCGAGGCTTTGGTTGAGGTTTCGAAACATCTTCCTTTTTACGGTGCAAGGTTGTTAGCCGTGCGACCAACCCCCAACCTGGAGGACCAGGATACCTGTCTTAGTCTGATCTCTCCCCCTCGACCAATCTGGCTAGGGAGTCCCTACCAGTAGCTATGCTGCCGCCAGCATAGCCCTTGGGATCACTGAGGTACTCAGGCCCCACCACCAAGACAAGATATAGGTTAATTAAGGGTCCTAAATACACCCACCCTCCTTTCTATGTCAATCAAATTTTATTCCAGTTTATCTTTCACATCATGGAAACTCATGTGGGAGTCAAAGTTGGATTGGGCGGTAACAATATTGAATACTCATTTTACCGCATTTTCTGTATCCTGTGTACATTAAATATCTTAATGGCATATATACTGGGTTATATAGTTTCCAGCAACATGCACCTGGGCTCTACTGTGGCCTGCATATATTGTGCTGTACTATTGCGAGAACAATACCATCCTTAATAGCTCATATTTTTGAGTGCATTCCATACTTGCCTCGAAAGCAGACTCCCGGGGAATCCCGTGGTAAACGACGAGGAGCTGACCAGTGCCATCCTCGAGGCCACAACAGCGTCCGCTCCCAAGCTTCGACCCCGCGTGGACAGGCAACCACCCCTGCCCACTAGTATTAAAGGATGAAATACGCCTGAAGAACCGGCTGAGGAGGCGGTGGCAGGTCACGACGGACCCCGCTCTCAAAGCTCAGGTCAACCGCCTCCAGAGGTCGGCGATCTATCGGCTCAACGAGTGGAGCGACACGCTGGAATCCTTGAACTGCGAGGACCACGCTTTGGAAGATGACTAACCGGGTAATGCGAGTCCCCACTCCGTCGCCCCCTTGCTAGTGCCAGGAGGACTGTCTCTCTCGGACTCCGAGAAGGCGGAAGCCCTGACCGACAAACTTGAGGTCCAGTTTCAGCCGGTGGACGACCCGTCGGACCCGGCTGTTATTGACATGGTTAACGAGGCGATGCGAG